ATCCAGCCTTCTGAACTGTTCAGCTCACAGTTCCCTGCCAACACAGCTGTACATCCTAATTGCTGTTGGTAATAATTGGTTTAACACTTTTTTTTTTAATCTAATTCACTCAAATTCACTGCATACAACAACAGCAAGATCACAAATCATGTTTGGTTTTTTTTTTTTTTAATTATTAAAACTGACCAGATACACTACTAGTTACTCAAATTTAAGGTGCTAAGATGACAAACACCTATCAAACTAGACGCAGCTAACTGGCTAGCCTTCAAAAGTTAGTCATTTTTGATAGTTTAGCAGCTCAGACAAACTGCAATACTTCCATCTCCATTGTCTAAAACTTTAGAGCTATATAAGATAGTAAACTTGGTTTTCTATACAGTGCTGAAGCCAATATTCACACAAATTTGAAACACTATCTTGTCGAAGGTGTCTCCATAACTTATTCTACAAATGCTATTTTAGTATAGCACTGATAAGGCATGGGATACTTACCTCCTGACAATGAAATGCATGACAGTAAACTTGTATGCATAACTACTATTGCTGAACTAACACCCATCGACATGGAAAGAAGCAGTTCACCTCTTTTATAAGCTATTAACAGTTAAAACTTAAACATTAAACATTCAGTTTTTAATATGCAGGAGAACAAACTATATTTTATCTCTGACAGAGGTTAACCAGTCCCTAGACTGGCTTCATCTTGCATGTTTTAATTTACCCATGTCTTGTTCCTTTACGTGTTTTTCTTCATTTGTCCCCATGCAACATTATCAGGGCAACAAAGAGGCTGGGTCTTGAAAACCAACAATACTAGCAGAGCCCCAGTTGCACAAGGTACATTACTATCTCTTACAAAAAAAAAGGAGATATCTAGATTCCCAGTCCTAGTGAGCTTGTAACAGCAAAAAGTCAACTTTCAAATAGAACAATTGAGTCTGAAAAATTCACCAAGGCAGGTTAAATACTTAATACCATATAAGCTAACAATATCTAATGTACCGAGATAACCACCAGGTGACTCATCTTCCCCAGTCAATTTAAATAAACAAAACACCATGGGAATGGCAAGAATTCAGTGGCCCTACAAGTTTTCAGAACCCCATTCTAGGAATCATTTTGTCATCTTAGTGTATACTGACTGTGAACTCCCAAAAAGCTGCTTATGGCTTTTCTTTCAGTTACTATCATTGTTATGAAAATGTGTTCATCTATAAAACCAGCCATAACTTATTCAACGTTGTGACTTGAACAGAGAGACAGAGAAGCACACCTTGAGCCACTGACAAGTTTCTGCAACACTTGCTTGTATGTGGCTCAGTCATAATGACTTTGAATTGGAACACCAGCACCAAAAATCCACCTGTGGAAAAGGCTTTCTCCATCCCTTCTCCTCACTCTACTCTACTACATATCATAATCAAATACAATGACTGTGGTACATTATCACTGACCGGAGAGCTCCCTGAAGACATTTAACATGCCTAAGATGTTCACCACTCTTAAGGACTGTTCTGCTGAAAAAGTTATCAAAGTAATCACAAGTTAAGCATGTTTTACTTTCATATTTACTTGGTCTTCAAGTGTAACAGAAATAATGAGAAATAAAATAGGACAGATGTACTACAGTAACCAAGTAGTGTAGAGGAGTTTCAGAAGTAGTATTGGAAGAACATTTTTTAATCAAGAAAGGGCTCCACCATCATTTTTTTTAAAAAACTTTTTTTTTTTTTTTTTTTGTTTTTTTTTATTTTTTTTTTTTTTTTTTTACAGTCTGTCTGAAAGGCAAAGTAATATGCTTGCATTTATGTCCAAATGTGTTCCTGTAACTGCTTTCAGAGACTGAGTCCAGACAGTCACTTACATGCATCAACAGTACCTGGAATTAACAGATTAGTTTGAACTGAATGAATCCAAGACACAAGACACTGCTGTCCCAGTTCAGGCAGCATATTTGCAGACTGTCAGTTCTACATTCTCTGTGAACAGCAATTCATCTTTTCATAGCATCTGTATTTTGTGCGTGCTGCCTATTACAAATACTTTGCTTATTCTCTGGCAGCTTGCTAGAAAGATCTGAAACTAGATGTTTTCTTTTATAGTTATGTAAGGTTTTAGTAACTACAACACCTTGTACTGAAAATTCAGAGCCTCTAGATGTTTCACTAAATTCAGAAATAGTCCTAAACACAGAAGAGAATTTTAATTTATTTTTGCAAAGTAATACACAAAAATCTTTTATCCATAAAAACAAATTACTTTCTATGACATATTCCTCAGTTACAGACCATCCTAATCTGAAACCACAGTTTCCACAAAGGTTTGATGCCACGGACAATGGTTACTTTTACTAGCAGTGGTGAAGAGAAACAGGCACATAAAGAAACCACAAAGACTTTACAAGCAAGCATTCCTGAAGCCATTAAAAGAGTTAGTTGTGAATGAACAAGGTTTGGATCTAGCAAACAGTTTATCATTCTCATTCAGCTCCACCTCCTGCACCCTTGGAAAACAGAGAAAACCCACTGTCCTATCTCAGTCCACCTTATCCATTAGTTCAGCTTGATTAATTTAAAAGTAGTTACATTTTTGTAATGCTTGGTTTATTCAGAGATGCTTATCAGCAACCCAGTTTCCCAGTTTAGCACTACTTCTTGCATGCCTTCCACAGTTAACAACTCTCCAGAACTACTCCAGACCTTCTGTGGTCAAACCAAATGCAGACAGCAGTTCTTCAGACCCTCGAACACAATTCCACAGAATCAAAACCACAAGTTTTTCAGCCAAATCCCTTAAATAAGGAAAAGCCTTTGTCATGTTATCACTAAGCCGCTGTTCAATTCACACAATTACACTAGCTAATTTCATACACAGAAAATCCTATGAAGTACTACTATCTTTAAAGCCTCAAAGAAGTTAAAGAGCTTAACTAGGAAACAGCATTGCACGCACACACACAAAAAAAAAAAAAAAAAAAAAAAGGAAAAAAACCAACTCCACAACTCCATGCAGGAATTATTCTGTAAGGAACTTAGGCTAGATAAAGTCTGAGTTAGATAATTACAGAGACACTAACGCTTTCACTAGAGCTGTAGCTGAGAAATCCTTTTTGACCAGACAGAACTGTGGCTAGTGTATGGGAACTGCTAAATCACAGCCTGAACCTCTGATGGATCTCCTGAGGTGAGCCATGAGTCAGCCATGGAGCACAGGTGAAGGCAATTCACCTGTACTGCTGGAAGGGGTGGAGCCTGGCTGCGCCTCTCCTAGACCCATGTAAGAGCTGACTGCCAGTAGGGAAGGGTCTCTTCTGGAGATCCCTCCTCTGGAGTTTTGCAGTGAACCTAGGACACAGGTAAGCTTTCTATCTATTCTCTTTTTGTTATTATAACCTGCTTAGCTAAATTCTCTTGTTTATTTCATAATTATAACACCTTTATATTCATTGATTATACAGGCTACTCAGTTGCTATTCCCAGCACTTCTACAAAAAAAAGCACTAAAACTTAATCATAATTCTGAAGTAGAAGCTTCCTTGAAATGATCCAGCCTTCAAACACCATAAGCTTTTTTTTTTACAGTAGAAAGAGTGGCTAGGAATATTGGCAGTGCTATGCACCAAACTAGGATATAGCTTGATGTGCATATTAAGCAACACAATAAAAAAAGGTATTTTGAGTTTTAAGGCTACTTTAACTGACTGGTTCCTGATTTCAGTGTGGATGGGTCTTGCTGGTATAATGGCAGGAGAAAGGCAGACCATGGACATTGCTTCCCTTATCACAGCTTGAATGAATATTATCCTGTAGCCTCAGAAAGGGGCAAAAATGGCATAGTTTATAACTGATTTCTGTTTCACATTTCTTTTTTCAACTTCATTACGCCATTGGAAGAAACCCAAATCAATCGACACTTGAGCACATCATTAGTTAAGAAGAGCTCAGTCATTTTTAAGATGCAAAATGCAGCACTTTGGCACAGCTTTTTAGGTAGTCTGAAATTAGTTTATTGTCCATTCTGAGGGCATTAACAGGGACAACTTCGGTTCTAAAGTTATTTAACCAGTATACTTTTCCACTGTAAGAGTTACCAGTTAAGTTAACTGACCAGGTTATCCAAGTTCAAAAGCAAATACCACTTGTCAGTACACACCACCACCTTGTGGCCGGATGCCTGAAACTACTGTAAATGAGAATTCAAATGCTTAAATATATTAAGAGCATCTGAATTGAAAGCCACTGAGAGATCCTCTGTGAGCTATGCTGCCATGCTGTGTGAGCTGCTCACAATGTTTTAAGAAACAATGAAGATGGAAAAGTACTCTATGTGCACAGTGCTGTACAATTTCAGTTTCAAGGCTGCCTGCCCTTCTGATTTGTAAGTTATTTATTTCATGCCTGAAAAAAACAACCTCTACTTATGAAGCAAACAAGTTGCATAAATTTGGCTTTAGGACTTTACATGAATCAAGAATTCTACAGATCTTCCCTTTCTTATCTAGCATGAAAAAAAAAAAAATTGAATCAAGAGAGCTGAACACACCTTTGTCAGTGTATTAAATCCTCTGATCTTGAATTCTGCCTCTAGCTCCTTATTTAAAAAGGGATTTTAAAAATGTCCTCATTTACTTTAACCAAGGTGAAAACATCAAGCTACGCTACAGATGAAAAACTGAAACCACTGTCTGCTCCAGTAACCAAGCAAGACTGTAAAATATACAACGAAGTACTCTAAAGAGTTGGGAAAATAACAATGGACAGAAGAACAAAAGAGGGGAAAGCTAGAAAAGCTACATACAGACCAACAACAAAAAAATCAATACAAAACAATACTTTCCTGCGTAAGCCTAGGATGACTTACCTTTAGCTGAAAACACTTTACACGTTTATTATGCTGATATGCCAAGTAGGATAGTAAGCCTACAGGCAATCATGAATGTATTTGCTGAATGAATTTTCTCTGCCCTCTTCCACGTGCTTAATGTTGCAAAGACTCACCAAAAGTTGTACCATCTTCACCCATAATGCACTTCATGGAGGTGATGATTTGCTCCACAACAGGAGGTGATAGTGATGTTGCATACACAGCACTGTGAGAGTGAGTCCTGAGGTAATCAATCAGCTCCTAGAAAAACACAAGAAGCCATCAGACACAGCTTTTTCAGCACTCCAGAGGAATGCTTTAGCAACAGAGTAAGTTAGGCCATTACAACAAACCTCTTCCAGCACGTCCTGGAAAAGAACAGATAGCTCAGGGACTTATTTTACAGTATAAGTAATGAACAGCTGAGATGTGAGCAGCAGAGATGTGACTACCTATAATTATATCCCCAGGGCAAGAATATCCATTGATGGAAGATAAGTGACTATGACAGATCTGCTTAGCAACAACAACAGCATTAGGTTGCAACGAGGTGTCTTGCACTACTCAAATTGCGTGCAAACCCTTATTTCAAGAGCATTTATTATAATCATAGGAGTATAAAACAAGTGAAATAGTGGGGAGCAGTATCCATAGATGCTTATGTATCATGCTCAATATAATTGCTTCCCCATAAAAGAAATCACCAAACAGAGCACAGGCTACAAAACACTACTTTCTCCCATTTACTATTGCAGTATAAATAAAATCTCTTTAAGATTGCAAGAATCTAGGCTACCACTCCTGCACTTCCCAATTAAGTATACACTCTAGATTGGTTAGGGGGTAAAGACAGGTCCTACAAAAGACAAACATACCATTGATCCAGATTGCTTGTTGTTTAGTTGAAACAAAACCCTTCATAATGATGAGACAACTCCAGTAAAATATCACAAAAACTAGTACAAACGCCACGACAGATTCCATCATAAAACTGTTAAGATTGCCCCATCCACAGCACAAGCAGGGAATATATTATAAAGAGGCAGAATCATTCAGTTTTATAGTATTGTCTGCCTGGAGTCAGAGTTAAATTAAAGGAAGTTGTAAAAGGATTCTGAAATAACCCAGGGCAGGAGCATTTAAGGCCTCTTCTGAAGTAATTCCACAAACAAGAGTACCTAAAAAGCAAACATGAAGGACTCCTGGCTGCTTCACCTTACACCAAGGGAGTTAATTCTGCTACCTGCTAATTCTGGAAAAAGAATAAGATGGTGCTTTGTTCTGGTTAAGATGTCAGACTCATTTTATGCCAGTTGCAGTAAAATCTCAGAAAAGAACTTCTGCAAATCCCATCCCCATTCGGATGGAGTGAAGTACATCACTATTTGCATCTAAACAACTATCATCCTGACAGGAAAACAGTGGAGTTTTACTCTGAATTAAAGGTTTACTATAAGTCTCATCTGTAATATACATGCAAGGATATATGAAGGGACACATGTAATTGTCTACATCATCCCTGCCAAAAGGAGCAGTTTGACAAAGGCCAGTATGTTCTAGTAGTACCTTTCAATACAAAACAATCAGTGCCCATACACACGAAGAAGTCTTTTCAAAAGCAAACTTCTGACATCCATAAGAAATCATCTCCACTACGCTAAGCTAAGAAATGGATTTTTTTCAAATGAGCTGAAAAACCTCAAGCTTTTGGCATTCTTCCTTCTTCATTAAAAGTAATATTGAGAAATTCCTGCTTCCTGGCTCCTAACAGTTCCTAAGATACTACACTCTTAACCAGACTTTCTGCAAAACTGAGCTCACCCCTGACGACATGCAAACTACAGAATTATGAGGTATTTTATTAGATTAGGCTCAATGGCACTGAACAGACTTTCATTGTACTAGACAGCAAGTAAAATTATGAAACAAATGGACAATAAGGGCAATTTAAGAAACAAATCAACATGGAAATGCTTAATAAAGAACTACAACACCAGCCTCAAACAGCCATAACATTTTCAGCTTTTTACCTTCTTGCCCCCGATGTATCCTCCAGCAGCTCCAAAGCTTTTGGTAAACGTTCCCATCATAACATCCACATCTTCAGGATTGAGTCCAAAATACTCCACTACACCCCGACCAGTAGGACCCAGTGCACCTATACTATGAGCCTCATCAAGGTACAGATAGGATTTATACTTCTTCTTAAGGGCAATCACTTCAGGCAAACGGACTATGGATCCCTCCATACTGTTGAGAAACAGAAATTAATTGTGAGTTGACTTAATGGTTGGGGTTCTCTTTGCGGAGTCAGACATCACTAAAATTTCTATTCTCTACTCTTATTAATTGTGACCACATAGAACTTTCCATATGCATTTTTCTTCTGCAGAGTTGAAAAACAAGTCCTCTTTGGACCTACTGCTCAGGTAACTATATACTACCTGTTTAACCTCTTTGGGATGCTGACATACTGAAAAACCAGTAGCAGTACCAATAAGAGGCAAAGGAATGTCATTGCTGATAATTTAATAAATTAATTATCCCTTTTCTACTTCCACTCTAACATCAATATTTTGATCTGACATCCTACTTGCTTACTGTTTCTAGGGCTAAGAATTGTCTTGAACTGTTTTGTGCTGAAAGTCACATTGATGATTTTAATGCCAATTAGCAAAACCTACTACATACTCCTACACACTTACAAAAAACCTTCACATTGCATAATTCCATTCACATCAGCATCATCCACTGAGCACAGTAAGAATGGAACAGACAAGCAATTTAAGACCTCAGCTCTGATATGAATATCAATTTAGATTAACTTCTAAAACCTGATCTAGACGTGGTGAGCACTGTGATAATACCAGGTGCACCTACCATACTAGCAACAAAAAGTTTAGGATGTGAAGCATACATACTTCAATTAAACCTCAGATAAGAGATCCATGAAATAACTGTGAAGTGATAATATTCAGTTTGATTTGACAAAGGAACCCAAACACTAAGCAGCTAGACCATATGCAGAGGGTCTTAGGAATATGAAGTATAGTTTGTACCTGTATATTCCTTCCACCAAGATAAGAATTTTTTTCCAGGGCCTCCGTGTACGAGGTTGCCCATGCACAATAGCATCTTTCAGCAGCTTCTCCAGGCTTCGCATATCTGCACCAGAAATTACTGTTAAATGGTACTGAAACAGCTTCTGGCTTGAGCTCTAACATGACAAAAGATAGCATCACTCCAAAAACACACAAATGGATTACGTATGGAAGAGAGACCATACATAAATCAGTAAGCATAGGCTTCATCTAGCTGCAGGCCTATAGATGAGATCAGGGGGACTGGGTGATTACACAAACTCTGATGCAGAATTTGACCATCCTAAATTAAAAGTACAAGCAGTAGCACAAGTTGCAAAGAAGGACTAGGAGGGCAGAGGAAGAATGAATACGGGGTGGAGGAAGGCATACCATTGCTAGGAAAAGAGAAAGGAATGTAAGGGGCAACAGTGTCTTTAGGTATAGAAATAAGGAGCAAGCTCAAAGATAATCAGCCAAAGTAGAAGACTGACCAAAGTGAAGAACAAGGATTTTCTGTTTAAAAGACAAAGAGACAAAAGGTGTGGAACGGGAAACTACAAAAACAAACAGGGAGGAAAAAGGGAGAATGAGTGCAGGAAATATGACAATGCTAAGCATACCAGAAGCTAGATGGATGATGATGTTAGTAGACATGTAATCTGAAACCTTACTAGGTTTGACTAAAAACACTTGACATAATCCAAGTACACCTAACAGTGTAACATAAACAAATGCATACATGTGAAATTAGTCCTGAAGATAAAAAATCGTGAGGAAGAAACAGAGATAGCAGCAATCCAGCCATAAAAACTAAAATGTTGAGCAAGAAACAAGCAAATAAAAGGGCACAAAGAACCTCATAAATCATAAAAAGATGACCAATAGACTAAAACCATTTTAGCAGCAAGTGGAGCTTATGAAGTAGAACTAGACTACAAATTAGAGAATAAAACAGGTCAACTTAACTGTTAGAAATAGTGATCAGAAAAAAGACAAAGATCAAATAAACAGTGGAATAATCCCTTTCTCCGTTATCTCCCCCATGGAAAAAAAGGATGAATTTAGTGCAGTTATGGAAAATACTAGAGTAAATGCCTTCTGCTCTAATCTTTCAAGGAAGAGAAGGATTGCAAAACAAGTCTAACCTTAATAAAAAGGACAAACTACACAATGAAGTAGGGAAAAAATGAAAATTTCTAAAAATAATGAGTGAAGCCATTCGTGTCTTGGAAAAAATGAGATTAATTAAAGCAGCATAGACCATAACAAGATAGTACTAAGAATACATGCACTTTATTGCTTGCATTTTACCTTCTGATTCTAATCTGCTATTCCACTCTCTTTCATGGATCCCCAACACGTAGAAAGTTTCTAGAGTAACCCATAGGCTCACCACTGCTAGTTTGTACCCTATAATCCCACATCTGTTCTTCCTTATAATGCCAGAGCTTCTAAGTCCTTCTCATATAATAACCAGGACTATATTTCTGTGAGCGCTCCCTAAAATTCTGGAACATGGGACAATTTCAGAAATATGCCTATATAAACACAGAAGATGAGTGCAAAGTTTTTGTGATCTTGCCCAGCAACCAAAACGCACTGCATTCAAGACTGATGAAGAATGGTGACCAAAAAAAAAAATAATGAAGTGTTACCAGTACTCTCTGTACTTCTTTAAGGAAAAGCACTCAAACAATAGAGAATAAGAAAGCAAGAAAGACTAAATAAACACAATAAACAATAAACAAAGAAACACAGTAAAGGGTTTACCACCTGGTAGGACAAGGAAAGAAAAAGAACTAGAGCCACCCAAACTTTGCTGTCACCACCAGAGATTTCAAAGGAAGAAGAGTCAACGTGATCTCAGAGAATGATAACATAAAAAGTGCATTACGAGTTATAAGTAACTGAAGAATGAAGGTAGTGACTTCATGACTTAGGAAGATAGTGTATCTGTCACTGAGACTAAGAAGAAGAAAGTCTTTTTTTTTTAATTTGAAAAACAAAACGCCTCCTTTGGAGGAAGCTGAAACCAGCAAAATGACAATTCTAAGTATCTGTTTTCAAAATACACACAAGTAGCAGTTAATCAATGCTTCATGTCCTGAAATCCCTTTTGTGCTACACTGTATGAGCACACAGTTGTCAAGTTTAGCCATGACATCTCTATTGTTAAAGTTCTCTAGACGTAGGACCATGCTAGCATCTCATCCTAAAGTTAAAAACTTTCCTATTGCCTCAAATCATAACCTAGACCTCTACAAGACTACGTTACTACGTGACATGGACTATTAGATGAGCTTGACAGTGCTGAGCTAACCAGGTAACAAGAAGCTACGTTAGAACACCACTGCCTGTAAACCTGCCAGAGAGCAATGTGGTGTTATTCACATGCAGAGATGCAAGTCAGCCCATCTTAATGATCTAAGCCCTACTATTTGAGACTGAATACATGAAACAATTTCCAACTCAAAATGACTGAATAGTAGCAGCAGTCAGCAGCAGACCTTTCAGGTAACCAGCAACTGATTTCTTACATGAAATGGGATTTCATGTAAGTATTAGAAAAGAGTTTCCATCTGATCTGAAGACGCAGCAGAAAGGCAATGTCCACCATTTGATACTTACTGTTGTGCTTAAAGATTCGAATAGCTGCTCCTGACAGTCTTGCCCCAAGTACTAGAGATGCATGGTTCAGTTCATCACTCAAAATTAGACAGCCCTGAATTAGAAGGGGAAGGGGAAAGATATTGAAAAAGTTAAGTTTCACAGCACGCAACACCTTTAAACTCTCAATTGCTCAGAGCTAATATAAGAACACAAAAAAACCCAAACAACCAAAGGAAAAAAATCCAACATAAATGCAGCTGGCTCAGGCAAGACTGGCTAAGAAATGATTTGCAGCCTTAATGTGGTAAATAAAGACACACAACTGCTGCTAGCTTAAATAATTACTTGTTTCACCACCCACTGAAGTCCTGCAGAATGACAGTTAATTCTTGGTGTCTCAAGAGCATAAAAATATCTTTAAGTCAATGAACCACCATTTACTATACTAACAGGTAGCCTGAGGAAACAAGCCATAACATGCTAAGCTGTTCTTTCAAGATCTGGAGTGCTACTGGTCCGTAGGATGCTGCTGCCCAAAGATTTTTGCAAAGCTAGCAATGTTTTCTGTGACTTAGTTTCCACAGAGAATATTTGCAGGTGCTGTCACGGAAGTAAAAAAAAATAGACAAGTAGGTTTTAGAAAACTGGACCCACAGTCTTTGTTAGATATGCTCTTAACAGTAACTTGAGCCATACCTTGCCTACTAAGGCTGGAATGTTCATAGAGTTGGTTGCAAATCCCATGCCATATGCCATGGCAGATTCCACACCTAGAAATCTGGCAACTAGCTTTTCCAGCTCTTCATGTTTGTCCAAGTTTCCTGCACATTAAACAGAAGAAATTCAGGGTTAAAAGCTTTCACTATTGCTGTATTCTACAGTAAACATCTTCATCAACCAGTACAGTCTTTACTCAAAACCCCAGACAGTAACACTGTAAACATTAACAAATCAACAGCTGTGCTGTATAAACTAAACCCAGAAGGCCAATTTATCTTCACTAAAACAATGATTTCTTTATTGCTTAGTCTAAAGTTCCAGAGTTGAAATAAGTAATGTTTAGAAGATTTGAGATCAAATTAAATACTTTGAAACAAACATTGAAGGAACGTCCTATCTTCCTCCAACTTACCCATCTCTTGCCTACTGCTGCACACCCCAGCTCCATACTGGGACAGAACTTTAGCTGCTGCCTGCTGGCAAGTCCCATTGTTCTGTGCAAATCCAAGGTAGTTATAAGAACCCATATTAATAACACCTTTTATCACTCTCCCCGTGTACCTGTGTTAAAAAAACATTAAAAATTAGGACACACAATATTGCAAAACTCAGCCAGAAGACTCTTCTTTGAGTTTCATAGAGTATGTACTGAAACATCAGTAAAAAGTCTATAAAATCAACAATTAAATTTTTTCAGCACTGATCCTCATTATCAAACTCCAGCAACAAAAAACACATTCTCCTTCTCTCATAGTTGCAAACTAAAAATGAAAGTTCATGCAACAGTCTATATAAAAAGGCAGGTATGCTATTGTATCAAATATTACTTCAGGATTTTCAAACAGTTTGTTTTCAAAATTGTTCCTCCTCCATCTCAGAAACACACAATTTGCTGTCCAATTAGAAAATAAGATATCTAGATCAGTTAACTTGGCAGCCCCTCAAGCAGGATATCCTCTAACCATGGAAAGGAAACACATCTGGCACTGTTGTGCTGATGCTACGTGACAAGGAGATTAAAAAAGAAGTTTAGTGGAAAAAGAAGTTTTAATTATTTTCCCCTTGAAAGCCAAGAAAATATGACTAGTTTCACCAAATACTATGCTGCAAACCTCTTCATGTCAAGCCTCGTGCTATGTCATTTCCAATTTAAAAATAAAAACAAAAAAACAGAAGACAACAAAATACATCTGCCCTTAATTTTTGGTTGTGTTTCACAAATTTACAAGTGTCTGGACTGGTTCTAAGTGAGCACGAGAAGTCAGGCAATCCAAAGGACCTACTCCAGGTTCTGTGCATCACACACAAAAGCGTACATCTTACCATTGGAATATAGATTTCATAGACTATATATGAAATCTTAATGCATGCAGAATCATCAGTAAGTGTTAATACCAAAGATCATATAGTCATCTTGGTGGCCAGACGTGGCTTAAAACAGCCAGTGTAAATCTCAAAATAAACATAATTCATCACTTCTTTAACCTCAAAGCCTTCAATGTGCTTTTAGAGACCCTACTTAGAAGTAGCTGGTGGAAGCCTTTTCTTCAATCTGACTCACGTGAATGTCCAGTTATAGTCATGGGAAACTCTCTCCATCACGTCCACTTTGGCCCCTGGCACACTGCAAATTGGACGGTTCCAGGTGTCTCGAATGCGCATGTAGAGGTTTCTGGTATAGAAATTTTCAAAGTCCTGATACAATGGGACAAAGTCCTGAAACACATCAAAAATGAAAGGAAACAATACAATACAGCAAACTGGTAATAAAAGGAACAAGGTGTTTTCCCAATCAATGAATGTAATTTGTAAAATAAAGTAAAATAAATCAAGAAAATGCAGGAAAAAGTTGAGAACTCTTCATTCTTAAGTCCTGAAAAAAATTCCAACCAAAGTTTGTTAAACACAGTATTGTTACTTCACAAAGCATGTGCCAGTGTAACATCACCTGGAAATGAGAAAGCACTGAGAAAGTTGAGGCACTCTATTATATTTTCTGTATGTTAGAAAAGCATATAATAAAGCAGCATTACTGTTATTACAGAGCTATTGTTAGAACTTATCACATTTTTTTTATTCAGAAGCCAAACAATTAAACTTCATTATGGCACCTCTGTTCTCCACAGCTTATCATGACTGAAGTCCCACAGGATTTTTCTGTGCACGAGAGTTTCCTGAATTCCAGCTTCCCTTCCAACTTTTTTCAGGAAAACAGTTTGACGTTCTTGTGTGTCACCCAAAGTGTGAGAGCACGGACATCTGAGCACTCAAGAACGTGTTTTTCTGGCCTACTTAAAATGCTTGAAATTCATGAGATTCCATCATTACTATTAAATTTAAAGGAAGTTTGACATTCAGTGATCATAACAATACAGAATTCATTTGCTAATGTCGCAAAAACAAGCCTTTGTAAAACACTACAAAAGGAAAATGTAGACTTATGACAAAGGTAAAGAGCCAGCATCACATTTCTTCCTGTTTTTCACAACATAACTGAAAATATGGAGAGAGGCATTTTTCAATTAGGTGGCAGGATAAGATAGAAGATCTGTCTGACCGAATACTAGTGCCTGGTATTTCTAACACGGAAGCAGAACTGGGAGCATTTATACCAGTTTCTTTAATAACAATTCACACAAATAAGTACTGAGAAGCTTCTAATTGCAGTGCTCAACTGAAGGAAGAGTACATTTTCCTTCCTTTACCTTCCCCATTTTACGGTTTCATAACAAGTTTCATAACTTTTAGATTAGAGTAAACAAACCATCTAGATTCACCTTTTACATCCTCCTGCCTGAAGATGCACAGGAAAGACAGCTTCTAGGTAAATGTTGCTGCATCTACTTTCCCTTCTGAAATGCTTGCACATAATGACACACCAAGAAGGCACAAAGATACTCTTTTTCATCATTTCAATTATGGAAAAACAAGATTTAGCCAGTGATCTCCCCTTCACAGAATAAAAAGATAAAGATCAGCTTTTACACCATCCAGTACTGATACGACAAGGGGAAATGGTTTTAAGCTAGAAGAGGGAAGATTTAGATTGATGTTAGGGGAAAATTATTTACTCAGAAGATGACAAGGCACCAGCACAGGCAGCCCAGAGAAGCTGTGGATGCCTCATCCTTGGAGGAGTTCGAGGCCAGGTTGGATGGGGCTCTGATCTAGTTGGGGACGACCCTCCCCATGGCAGGAGTGTCAGAACTGGATGACCTTTCAGGTCCCTTCCAACCCAAGTCATTCTATGTCCTTCCTCAGCAAAGGAAGACAATGGGAATGAGATTTCAAAGAGTTACGATGCACTGAATTATTTCTTCCTTGTTCCTTTACTCAAGTATAGTTTGGCATTCACTTTTGCCATGTCTTCTCTGAAGGCCTTCCATCAAATTGGATTAATAAGGTGGAAAGTAAACAAATAATGTTACAATCCTCTGGAAAATCATTGGTTTTCTGAAGAAGTAACACAACTTCAACCTTCCTCACCTTCAGTATCTCACTGTCCCAAAAAGATGGCAGGTTTCAGGCTTGAAGCACTTACAGATTTGACCCTTTTGCAGTGGAAAAAAACATCAACACATCCAAAAGCTTAATTCATATATGAAAAGTCACATAGCTACTTCACTCTAACAGAGTGGTGATAAGCACGACAGTACTTGGAGCAATACACTAAGATCCCAATTCATGACTTAAGATTCCGAATAGTTAACTGGTAAGTGTTTGAAAGCTCTATTACAGCATCTTTCATAGGGGTGGAGGAAGTGAGGAGGTAAAAAAAAAAAAAAAAAAAAAAAAAAAAAAAGGCAGAAAACAAAAAACAGAAAAAACCCAAAATTTAAGAGATTTGAACTTTAGTTATAACCTCAGATATTTTTAACCACTTCCAGCTTTTCTTACCCACTTTGCATAAGAATGTGACTTTGCAGTAGTTATTGAAGCACACTATGTGACCCAGGAAGTCAACTGAAATTTTAGCCAAGGTTCTTGGCAAGGAATGGAGGCTGCAAATTAGTCATTGTTCTAACTCAAACAGGTATGCCTGGGCTGATACAGTCCAATCTTACCTCATGTTTCTAATCAGATAAATCGTGTTTCATTTTGAAACAAGGTGACAAAGCAGGAAGACTAACAAGCTCAACTGGTGAGAGAAAGATAGGCACCCACAACAGGCCGATATCACCAAGATATAATGCAAGTACAATCTTACAAGACAAGCAACATAGCCTTTAAATTCTGAAGACGTTATTGTGAAGTTCTTTAAACCTTATGGATTATTGTGAGATAAATAAAAAAAGTGTGCTTCAAAAATTAACAGAAATTCAAGGAACAAATTATGAGTAAAAGAACTCACGTCCAATACAGGAGACTAGCTTTACTTTTTAGGAGTGCTAAGGAAGCATTAAAAACCTAGAACATTAATAGTGAAAGAACCCCAGATGCATAAACTTAAGGACTAGAGATCTTCCATAAGCCTGAAAAGTATAGCAACTTCAGTAAGGAATTGAAGCAAGGGAAGAATAAAGCTCTCCCTTGGGGTGCAGTGCCTTAGCACAGGCAACTCGTAAATCCAAGATTTCATCATATTGTTAATTAGTAATATAAGTGAAGGTCAAAATGAAAGCTTTGTAACCATTAGCTTGGAGCACAGTAACATGCAAACACAGCAATTATGTCGCTTTTAGAGCCAAGTTTTTACAGCATTGCATCTAAGCTAACAGATGGTGCCACGAGCACCAACAAGGCTTACCTGCAATTCACCTAATGCATCCCTCCCCTAATAAAACAAAACTCTGAATGGAAATCAGGCAGGCAAATGCAACAAACAGGCTTCTAAAAGGAAAAAAAAAAAAAAAATGAAAAAGGCTGCTTCCATCTCACTGCTATGTGAGACAAGAAAAAGTCCAGCAGCAACTGTGGGCAATTTTTTATATTCTCGCAGGCCTACAATGAGCTTTGCAGATGCTAAGACAATACTGAGCAGAACTCTCCAGTTCACCACCACAAACGTACTTGTCTCCACAAATCCAACTGTAGAATGTTTGAAAGCTTCAGATACCAGAAATACTGTTGGCACAGGGAAGCTGTCAAGCACAGAGAGGTACATTAAAGAATTAGCACTCCCATTCAGACAGTTTGCTTCCATGTACAAAATAGACAACGTAATTAGTAGGTAAATCAGATCAGGAGAAGTTTAAAAGCAGTTTTCCTTTTACCTATGAAATGCTACAAGCATGGCTACTGAAAAAGTTACACCTGAGCATCAGGTTAAACTGAGTACACATACAGTGATTCCAGGGTAACTGGCAGTTTTTATCTTTCCACCCACCCATGCCTAAAACAGACCAGTGTTTCTGACAGGATATGCTACACATACCAGTTTCCAGGAAAAGCCCAGATGGATATATTTGAACTGATGCCAAAACACAATGACTACACCCTCCTGGTAATCCACATTAGCAAAGCCTTTACCTTTTTGTGTAGTGCTGGCAAATACTAGTTTTTTCTAGAATCATTCATTGCTTTGTGCTGCTCTCTAATAAGTTGCAAGATATTTACCCACTGTCAGAAGCAGTCCCAACATACATGCATTAGAAATCCTACTCTTCCAGTTATCTTTGTCCAGTTCCATTTTCTAGTTCTGGTGCACACAATATGATGTAACAGTTTCAGCAAGAACTTAGCTACTGAAATCAAGTGCTCTCCAAAACAAAAAAATCACAAGGCTTTTTTCTCCTCCCCCTTTTTTTTTTTTCTTTTTTTTTTTTTGTTTTTTTTTTTTTTTTTCCTAAAACCACATTCCAGACTGAAGCTTACTCAGTGCTGTTAACTTCAATTGTTTTCAGAAACACACCATGAGAAATACCCATATACTTCAATTCCATGACTTCAGGACGCATCATTCGGCCCTATATGGGACACTTCCTTGCAGAGTGTAATTTAGTTCTGCTCACACAGAACATCTTCATACTGCTAATCTACACAGTTACTTCCAATGCCTTTGCTTTGAGCTCTTCACCTACAAAGTGTTTTATAAACTATTTCAGAAAACTAAAGCTAATTGTTTTGCTTGATTGCTAAGAAAATTATAATCAATTTGAGATTCATGTAATAGAAATAGTACTTCACATAAAGAGGTCACTGAACCTAAATCTGATAGAAACTACACCAGGGCTTCTCTGATATATTAACTTTAAAAAACAGGAGTTTTAAGCTTTTCCTGCACGCTGGTATCTATACCTCTTTACTAAAGGACAGTAGGGATGTCAGCCAGTTGCCTGAGAGATTCAAGTATGCGAAAATCACAAAATGTCTCAAACCAAGATATTGAGCACTCCCCTGTACCACAACAAAACCTGGCTCCCACACTGGGTGCACTGCAACATCTTACCATCAATTCATTTGCAGACAAAAAAGCTCAAAGCATCAAAATGTGAGGTCAAGTTCTGGATCTAACATGATCACTTTTCTATTTGTCCAGCATCAGAAATAGCTGTTCCTAAGCACTAAAAACATGATTTAGGGAAGTACACTACACTGGCATTTCTTTCACTCCTGAACTTTTTTGAACAGGACTTCTTATTTTCCATCCATATGCAGTATAGACTGGCCTATCCATGACATGATACACAGCAAATTGAGCCTTCAGATAGAAGTGCTTCTCACTAGATCCAGCCACAGAAATCTTATGCACAAAACAAAAACACAGCACTTGCAGCTCTTCCCTGAAAGCCAAGGTCAACACACAGGGAGTTTCAATTCATCTGTCTGGGAAACTTACTTGTTTAACAGAAGCCTTTCAGGAGAAGATGCAATGCTAGAATTAATTTAGAAAATAAAAAAATTAAGATTAAATTTATTTTTGAACTGGGATAATCAGTTGCTAACAAACTCTCTGCTTGTGTCACCTGTGACAGTCCTTATGGAGAACCCAATATCAATAACCTACCCCTACATCAGAACTGCTGCCTGAGGTCTTCTGTAACAGAAGTGAACATACAGTTATCACCACTCTCAGAAAAAGGCTACTGTAAGCAGGCACCTTTCCCCCTTGGTATGGGAACAAGAGTTTCACAGAAATACAGTAGCCAATCTTTCAGTTACTTCTTTTTAATCCTCAAGTATCATGAGTACAAATATTTAAACTCCTAACATCCAGCACTGGTATATTTTTGCAGCTGTTTGCTCTTCTTTTCTGCATCAATTTCAAGGATATAAGTAGAAAAGATGTCATATTCTCAAGTGATATAAACCAAAGTAGCTCAAATTAAACAATGCATCGAGTTACAAATGGAGATTCAGCTTGCAATATTCATTCAGATTTTGGATATTGAAAGGGAATAAAAGTTTTACTTCTAGATTCCAGAAGTTAGTTTTGGAAATAGTATAAATTTAGCTTCCCCACTGTTAACAAACATGAAATATCTATTCCTCATTAAATCCCTGAAAGAATATTTCTGTTTTGGAATTATGTGTCTTACCATGAGACAGCTTAATTCTACCACAAGCTACTATAAGTATATGAAGAAGCTACCATGAAATCATTTTAGGCATCAGCACTGCATCTTATCTCATCTACCACAGCATGATACAAACTTTGCCTCATGCTGCCTCTAAAAGAAGTCGTCTTTTGTCTTTCCTCCTTCCACCCTCCTATCCTTAGTAATTTGTTTACATTCTTGAGCTGCTTCCCCCCACCCTCATTTTCTGCTAGCCAATTCCAACTGCTTGTGTGGCTGCCTAGAGAACCAGAAACCAGCAAGCGAAAAACAAACTGCCTTGAAGTATTGTGAGCTGGATCGGTGACCGAGAAAAACAGAACCCTGGTCAGCAAGAGTAAGCCAATCTACTTTGGCTTTCGGAGGAAACCTCACTGGTATTCACACTACGCTAGGACAGCTCACACTGAGAGTTAGCAGAAATAGCTTACAAACTGCCAGTTTAAGTGGCAGCTCCTTAACAGTAACTTGAGTGGGGACTAAAGGCCTCTAAAAATTATTTAAAACAATTTAAGATTATCGGTATTACACTAACTGCTGGAGATGGCAAGACTTTTTAACTGCTAACAGAAACTTTCACTAAAAGGCTTTTAAAATTCTTTAAATGCTATCAGTGAGTCAGTGCCTCAAATTACTCACCAGCTAACCCAATACCGTTTTGAATCTCATGTTAATTCAAAATCATCCAATTTACACTCTGGCTCTTACTGCAAGCTTCTCTTTACAGATACTTGGGCTGGAAAGAATGTTTCCAAATCAAAACACGGACAGCAACCAGAACAGCATCAGAAAGCATACCACTGCTGTGAAACACCAGCTTGATCCTTCAAGAAGCATTTCTCTTGCTACTTGTGCTGGCATACGAGGTGTTTCTCCCTGAAGCACTTGTTTCTGCAGCCGAGGCATCACTCAGCACATTGACATAATTGTTGATGTAGTTTCCAGTAAAACATACCATATAACTATGCCACCAAAAAATAACCCAAATAAAAAAACATTGTTTTGCTTAACCATACCACAGTACCAGCATAACACACAGAGCATTTCAGATACAAGGAGAACAGTAGAAAATTTTGAACAATATTGCTCTGCAAATAAATACTTAAACTAGAGGCCTTAGCCACACAATTTCCACATTGACATTTCTCAGTCTTTACCTTTTGTTCTTCTCTTTCTATTGCATTTTGACACTTCTCAATCTTCCACTGCCGCATGAAATCTCGCAGATACCCGAAGAGTGTGAGAACACCGTAGCCTACATAGGTCAGCACAGCAACCAGCATTGGTGTTTCTTCAAAAGCTTCATTGAAAGGTCTTTTGTATAATCCTCCATTGTGCACGATGTGATCTATCTGAAGTAAAAATTTAAAGAGAGGCAGCTGTAAGATACTCATTCAAGGAACATCAAACAGGCATTTCTGAGTAATCCCTCTGATCTTGTAACTGATTCTGCCCTCCCCTCGCCCAAATCCTAATTCTTCCAGCTAGGTTCAGTCATGACAAACACTGTTAGTCTCCATATACAAGGCTGGTGTGAAAAAGCCTCCTCATCCACCAAGACTTTCAAATAACCGAATTCACAGAGCAGAGATTTTCAAGACCTACTAAAGAGGAAAAAAAAAAACAAAACCAAACACCAAAAAACAACCCACAATAAAAATCCAACAAAACCCACAGAAATCCAGAAACAGAAATGAACAGTTCAATAAGATAAAGAATGCATTCTCGGGATTATGAGATCCAAAAGAACTGGACAATATTCAAACAAGATTCTGCTATGGAAGCCTACACTGCTGTAAGAAAACAAGTATCCTCTGTGTTTCTCCATAGCCTTAAGCCTAAAGATGCTGACATAACCACTGTACTCATCCATGTGGTGGACATGGCATCACAGACAAACAACTCATTGTATACACAGCCTCAACATTGCATATATGTCAGAACACAGAACAGAGCAAAGCTTTCTGCATCAAATCCCCATGGCACATCATCTTGTTACCTAAAAGCTATCTCCCGAAAAAAAGAATTTGACCAGTTGCATAATAGGTGTGCACCTCAATTATGGTTGATGTGTTGTATTGGTGACTGTTACAGAAAATATTTGAAATAACAAGGCAAGTGCTCACCCAAGGCAACACCACAGCTGTAAGAATGTCACAGTTTTAACTAGGCTACTTATTGGTATACAATTCTGTAACTTTCTCCAAACCTACTATGGAGGGTGTTGCCTGATGTGCAAGGGAGTGGCTGGACGACAAGAAGGAAACCAAGATAAGCTTCAATAAATTACTACATTAATAATAACAGCACACTGAAAGAAGAGCCGGGTCAACAGTGATGTTTGAATTTCTGTAGACTGTTCTCAAATTTCAGTTTATAGGCAAATACAATAAGGAGTCTATTTTAAAATATTGTAACCAAAGAAACATCAACGCTTAGGGAAAAGGATGGTCCTAAATACCTCAAGGAATGATAACCATACCCAGCAGAACAGTACAGGTCATTTTTGCATGGCATCCATAGGATCATATGGGAAGGGAAGCCAGAGTTGAAGTAACTTATTTAACAGCTAACAAATCAATTAAAGCACACAAGCTTTCCATGCAATACTTTCTTTGGAAACCAGCATCTGTTCATTCCAGATGCTGCAGCAAGTCTGTATTTCAAGTGTGATACTATTATCTAAAGCTTTATTTTTTAGAAGCTTCATAAGATACAATCAAGCTATAGCTACACAGTCAATAACTGAGCACGAACTTCAACACTACCTTTTCCCCAATACCCATTTCTACCTCTTTCCTTTGCCAACACACACCCAGGTGGTTGCAGAGCAATATAGAATTTCACAGTGTAGTGACTGTGGTTGTCAAGACTTGAGTACTCGTACATGCGTGGAAACAAAACAAAGATACTGTAGAAATGTATTTTAGCAGCTGCTCTTACGCCAGATATAAATAACAGAGTTGCAGTGCTTTGAGGCAAGGTTTAATACTGAAGTAGTTTTAAAACATGCTGCCTGGTGGCTTAAGTTAGAAAATTTTGGACAAGTGTAGAAATCCCCCTAGGCTTACTACACTGCAGCTAAGATGAAGGCAACTTAAAAGTTTTATCAAGGCCAGAGTTTCACAGTATGTTTTCCTCACAAACAGTGCCAACCAAAGCGTCTCCCTTTGTCCCACTCACTCCCACTTTGAGCCATCTGCACCACCCTCTGGCTTGCACAATGAAAGCTAACCTGACTTTCAGCACAGCATCTCTCCAACATGGAACTGACGCAGGCTACAAATACAGTGATTTGCAGAAAGTTATTTATTAGACTCTAACAATCTTCACAGCACCGCTCCACAAACTCATTTAAGAGATCTCAACAAACAAGAATGAACAGCTGCTGGGGAGGGGTAAAAGCAAACGACAATCAGCAGGCTCTGTAAGTCAACCCTGCACAGGAAAAAAAACACAAGTGCCTTCTCTTCCCTAATACTCAAGACCTCTTAACTTTATTATTGTAGCTCCAATTCATGAAACCACAAAGTTTTACTGCATCATGCAGCAAAGCTCCCAAGTTACTACAATTTCAAAACTTGATGAATTACAGTTGAATTTGGTGTCCTCAAGCTGACAGCCTGGGCTCCGAATAGCAGCTACTCTGGAGATGTGTAACATCTACTACCTATAGCTGTCTGTAAGTAGTTGCTCATTTCTGGATGAGCAGACAGATGACAGTGACAACTCAAATGGCTTAGCACCTAATAAATGGAGATCACATCAAAGCTTCTAATGCCTTTCTCAGGAAGAGACAAAAGGTTACAAACTAACAGTTGAGGTTAATCACCAATTGCTACTGATGAATAAATAAATAAATCAGTTCTAATCAGAAACAGTATGTAACACTTTTTCTCTTTTAGAGATTCCCCTGCTTGTGAAAAATGCTAAAATTAAGGTTGCCTTGCATTGTCAAAAATAACATTTCATTAAGAAAGACTCTTTAAGTAATATAAGCATCGATTCAAGACAAATTAATTTCACCTCCTGGTATTATTCTACCACTGTGCTCATACAGAGCAGAAGGACAGCCTGACAAAACAGTGTTTGACATGGGAGTGAAGAAAAAGCAAAAGTGCGTCACCGAATTCCTCCAGGCAGAAAAAATGGCACCCACTGACATTCATCAAGACTTGCTGAATGTTTATGGAGACCAAAGAGTGGATGTGAGCACACTGAGGCACTGGGTGATGTGTTTCAGCAGTGGCAACAGCAGGTCATCCTCCGCTGGTACAGATTTTGATGAGTGCAGGCTGTTGTTCACAGCTGGTAAAAATGCAGCAAATAGCTGATGGTAGTGACTATGTTAAAAAAAAACAAACAACAAAAACACAGCATCTTGTAGCTGAGAATTTGCTCTATCAAGTAGTGTTATAGCGTTCTTCGTAACTGTTGTGATTCCCATGGAAATAAATAGGAGTCATTAGTTTTGGAATGACCTACATACAATTCCTACAATTATCATGATAGCGTCTCTGGTACAGAGGATGGGATTATGGATGTACACACACACTGTAAGCACGCCTCAGCTTACATTCTTACCTAAGCGCTGTGCAAAGTTGTGCTTTAAAGAACACTCTGTCCTACAGATAGCATCAGTTCTTGCAGTGCCTTAAGCTCAGGGACCACCAGAACCAGACTCCAGCTCCACAGAGAAAAGGTTTTGCTTCTTGTCTCACTTTAGGCAAATTCTTCAATGACAAGTACAAAACAAATTCTCACGTAACATTCTTACATTGGTAGCTCTTAGCACGATTACAGGCCACCTGACATCAGGGACAGAGCAGTGTCTTCTACACAGACACAGTTCTCATTTAAGTCACCCCACTAAACATAAATTCACAACTACATATGTAGCTAATTGCATGCTTCACCAGCAGAGACCTCTGCTGTCTTATTAGGTGCACAGATGACTCCATCAGAGTTATCAAAGTAAGGGAAAAATGCAACTGAAAGTCATTAACAGTAAACTTGCTTTTACTTGCACCTTCACAACTGCCCTTTTTCTATGTTTGGACAGGTCTTCACAGAAGGACCTCCATGTGTCACCCTATCATGGATTTACAAAGGGGAGAAAAAGAATCAAGCAAACAGATAGATTGCATTATCAAGTTCCCACTGCAAGCAGCCAAAACAGGACACATCAAGCTAGCATTATTCTTAACCTATCTGTTAATGAAAAGCTTATTTCTCAAGGTCAGTCAGAGAAAGGGCTTTCAGGGCATGTACTACACCTATGTCAGCAGCCAGTTAGGCTAAGAGCTCCCTCTCATCAAAGTCAGCATGGCAGAAACAGGTGGATACAGAGGAGCATGCAAAAGCCAAACTTCAACTGCAGGGCAGGACGACAGCACATAAACTTCCATTACAGAAGTTTTGCAAGAAGACAAAAGCCATGTGTAAGCACAGGAACATGCACAGACACCAGTGCAGACAGTACAGACAGGATTTAATCAATGAATCTTTTAAAGTTGTTTATTAAAAACATTTGCCATGGTAAATACCCTGCACAAGTGGCATACACTTCAGGCAGAGATGCTACAGAAGCACAGCACATGCAAAACAGTTAACAGTGAACACCATAAGCACTTATGCTGCTATCCTAGGAAAACCACAACACTCCGTATTAAAAAAACTGCTAAACTGCTCTGCTTCTTGCTGCAAGGAAAAACAAAAGCCAGATGAGCCCAGTGATTTTATGTAAATGCCTTAAAAGTTGCTGGAAGACAACTTTGCAAAATTCCTATTAAAATGTAGCAGCTTCTGATGACACATACCACACATACTGCAGATATTCCACTAGGAGTCATACAGCTTCTGGTTTTAGATGTATAATACTACTACTTCCCAATGTTGCTTGCTTTTTTTTTTTGTCAAAGATTCCTGTCAGCTACAGGGAATACATGGAAAGACAGGGCATGTACCTCAAAAGCAGTCACATTTGTTATATGGAATCAAGAGAATCAGAATGAAAGAAACTACAGCACTAAATGGTAATTTCCCAGAGGCAGCCTCACCTGAGCTATTACTTATTCTGTGTTAACTCCTCCCTGTCACCTCCAGACTTTCTTCTTGTGCTGCTTTGTTCTTAGCCTTCACATCTCAAACTGCTGCAATGGTAAAAACACTGAGATTCACTACCAAAATTAGAAGGCACTGGTTTGAGTCACATTTTAATCTTTCAGGAGAAAGATAAAAAATATCATTGGAGGTACTTTTTTTTTTTTTTTTTTAACACAACAAACTTTATCACTCGGGTGTATTGCCACTTCAGTATTTCTTCTTGTTGGTGCAGATTATCAAACACTGG